TCATAATTGATAAAATAATTAATATTTATTATTTAACAGATTAAAATCAATTTATAAATAAATATTTTCAAATATTATAACTAACTGTTTAAATAAAAAATTATAAACTAATAAAATTACAATTAAAATTGATGTTCTAAACAAAATCATTGGTGACAATAACCTCAATTAGCCCTTTTTAGAACACAAGTGCTAACATTTTTGTTATAATTAGATTATAATTAAGTGAAAGTCAGCAATTCCCCTGTCGAAATGAAATTATCCCAGAGACAATTTAATTTGTATGATAGTACAGTTAATTTAAAATAATAAATTTAATTAAAAGGAGAAAAGAGAAAATATTGCAACAAAAAAGCAATAACTTATCATTGTCAAATGAAAAGATTAACAAAAAAAAAAAAAAAAGTAAATGTATTTCCTCAGTTTGTCCAAGTGTTACTTGTACGTATCCCCTTTGATGGAATTTTGAGGAATAGGACTTGCGAGATCCCTATAAAGGATTGACAAAAATCAAATGAACATATGAATAGATCTAGCACAGTACTTTATAAAAAATGAGTATCAATCAGTAAATCTCAAATAATTTTCAATAATTCCATTCTTTTGTACCATCAAAATTAAAATTATAAAACTGAGATGATTTCTTAACCATATGTTGATAGTTACTTACTTCGAAATCAAAGAATATCATACAACAATCTTAAGGTGCAGGCATTTTGGATTCTAAAGCCTCAACAAATTTATCCATTGGGTGGTCTACATAGATGTTTGTAGTACACTAGAGGAGGTTGCTTCTCAAAAATAGCCTTCAAGATCTCAGGAGTTTAAACTGGTTCCAAGCAGCTTCATTCCCTTCATACTTCATGGTCATTTAAAGCCCAGTAACTGCTCAAATCGAAAGCACACTGCACACAATCAAATGCTTATCCCAATGTTTTAAAAACCATGGTCATTAAAAGCCCAGTAACTGCTCAAATCGAAAGCACACAATCAAATGCTTACCCAATGTTTTAAAAATTATACCGAATCGGTCGGATCAACATTGGTAATATAATCACGTTGGGTAAGTGTTTAAAACCGATAAAAAAGTTAAATCATTTAAAACTACTCAAATCGATGTAAACCATCAAACCAAACAGTTTAAAATTTTTGGAAATTTTCCTTTAATTTAAACACAAGACTTTAGAGAGACTTTCTGTTACTTCTGCCACTAGGACATGACTTGTTGGATTGAAAAGATTTGCTTAAAATTTTATTTATTTTACTTTTAGGAAGAAAAAAATTGCCTCCAGCAGAATCCAACTTCGAAAATTAATATAATATTTATTTAATTAGTATTTTAAATATACAAATTAAAAATATAATAAATGTAATT